AATAGAACACGCGATTGTGATCAGTCAATTTCTTAAGGCTTAGGGTTTAAATCTCTATTGTAGACTGGGACTAAGAGTACAAGACAGCTACTCTGGCCGTAAGTGCATGCAAAAGGAAATAAACCAATCGATTCCTTTGTGCATACGCTTATGCGCCTGTGCAAGTCTCTTTGTCCTTTTATCTCACGTATTTCAGTATACGATCTGTATATATTGTAGAAGGTGCGTAAAAAGTATATTAACAAAACATGATAAAACTGATGTAGATTATAGCACTAGCGTCCCCTAATACGAGACAAGCTCCTAACACGAGACAGCGGGGGTTTTTGCTAAATTAAAAGGCATCGTCTATCGATTTCATTCTTGCCCTTTGAGTGAAATCTGTTCAATAATGTTTCACCAGTTAGATCGCGCGACCTTTAATCACAAATCTTCATTCGCGCGGATAAAGATCTGCGATTCAATTTTCACGTTGCGAATCCGCTGTCTCACATTAGAAGCTCGTCTCACGACGGAGGGCTTTCCGCTATGTGTGTAACGTTATATATGTCGCGTATATGATAAGAAAACCATGATTTCGCGCGCATAAACGCGCGCGGGCGAGTCGCGCGTCGCGCCAATACCCGTTCGAAGTTCCCGCCCGGCGGTAACGCCGCGCGCGGTCACACGCCGACCCCAACCAGCGCGTGACGTTGCTCACCGATGCGAAGGGAGTAACGAACGCGCGAGCGCCGCGGAATCCTCCCGACACGAAGGCTGGCCGGGGCCCTCTCGTTTCACACCTGCCGAGCGCGCGCCCGACCCGAGATCGAATATACGCGGAGGCGCGATTCCGATCGCGCGCCGAGCGATGCGCGGCGCAGTCTCACGTCTCGCTGCTGGGCATGCTCCAACGTCGTCGACGTTCCACGGCTCGCCGCGATTAGGTTAACGCCACGTCGGGTGCGCCGCCACCGTAAACACACGGTGAGTGTAGACAGCAGCGCGCTGCGATCGCGCCTCGCGCGCCCCGCGTTAGAAAGAGGAAAGCGCGATAAAGAGAGAACCTCGAGTGCTGCCTAGGCGTCTCGAATTTCGCGTTAGAAAGACCGAGGATTCCGCGCGGCCGATTGTGAACTGTCGCGCTGTATCTTCGTGAGGCAAGGCGGACGCGTATAATCAGCCGCGGGGAGAAGCGGCGCTTCAACTTTTTCGCACGGCGGAGTGTTCGAACATGGTAATTAGTTAGCGAGATACAGAATCGCCGTGGAACTCGAGGATCTTCGTCTCTCCCGCGGAGCCCGGGGCTCTGTTTCGCGCGCGCAGCGTCGGTTTCGGCAACATTGGCAACGCCCTGAGCGAGATTCCCACGGGCTCGAAATTGTCGGGAAAGGGGCGATAACGTCGAACGACCAACTCCATTTTGTTTTTGTACTTTTTTTCGGGGGAATCTCTCGGCTCACGAACCGGGAGAAACTGGAGACCCTGTAATCGGAGACCGGCCGTAAGAGTTGGTAAACTTCTCGCGCGAGTGAGAGCGAGGAACCGCAGGCCGTCGCGCTCGTCTACGCTCGTTACGATCGTAGAAAAGCGCGACCGTCTTGCGTCTTCCTCTCTCCGGCGACGTTCGCGCAGCTTTTATCGCGTGAAAGTAGCTGCGCGAGCGTCCGTTGACTCGCGCGGCGTACGCGCGCCATTCGGGAGACGCGCGATCCGGGATTCGAGCGCGAGCCTTTTCCTCAAATTCTCGGCTAAATTGACTCGCGATCCGTTGCCGAAAAAAACGCGACGATGAGCCCACTCGCTTTTCGCGCCGCGGCAAGAAGATTCGCGATCTATACCCTCGGCATGTTCGCGTCGGCGACGCGTGGCGCCTTTCGATAATCGAAACCTGGAATTTGAACGCGAGGCCCGCGGGCCGCGCCGCGCGGTGGACGACGGGAAGGGACGCCCGGCGACGTCGTTGTGGCGCGCGTTTGGACGCCGAGGTGATTCCCCGATCGCGGCATTACCAATGCCGCGATCGGGGATCCCCCCTCGAATACTCGACGGCGTCGACGCGACACGTACGTGCGCCTGTCCCCGAGTTATCGCGCGCGCGCGCGCGCGCGCGTAGATTAGAGGCGCAGATGGGCGCAGATTAGAGGAACAAAGAGATCTCGCCGTCCGACGATTCAGGTACGATCGTGACTTATCGGTGTTTTTTCAGGGCGCGCGGCTCAGCGTTGCGAGGCGCGAGCGCAACGCGATGGACCCCGGGGCGGTTTCGATTCTCAAGCGGGCGGTGGAGATGGACAAGAATGAGCAGTACACGATAGCGCTGGTGCTGTACCAGGAAGGCGTGCAGATACTCATCGACGCGATGAAAGGTACGCCGCGCCCGCGTCCTCCCGGCCTCGTTTGTTTCGAGCGGGGGAGAAAAGAGGACGTCGCTGTACTAGTCTTGTTTTATCGTTATGCATTATCTTTATATATTATATATTACCTTTGTCAAGAAGTTGAAGATAATAAAACGATGCAGAGACGAAGGAGGCTAACAGGACGTATCTCGCGGCCAAAACGAAGGAGTACCTCGACAGGGCCGAGATTGTGAAGCAGCTGATCAGTACGAGAAAGTCGCAGGGCAAATACAGGGAGTTCACCAAGATCGAGAGTGGATCCACGGGCCACGGTTACGAGAGTGTCTTCGGTAGATTCCTGGACGGCACCGTCAAGTACATCAATATCGAGGATCCGTACATACGAGCCTTTCACCAGGTACACTTGGCCGTTCGGCCGGCATTACGTGTATAAGTCGATTTGAAATATAGTCGCTCTAATCCCCGCTCCACCCTTTGCAGTGCCAGAACCTGGTCAGACTGTGCGAACTGGCGGTTCGGAAGTGCCGTACGTTGTCCAGGATATCCCTGATCACGACTTACGACGCGAAGGAGTTGCAGCAGGTCACGAGACTCGCCGAGCTGAAAGAAAGCTTGGCGTCTCGCAACATTGCCTTCGACTTTTCCTTCTCCGAGACCCTGCACGACAGACAGATCAGGTAAGGCCGGCGTAGCTGTCGAGCTCTGAAAATTAGAAACACCCCCCCCCCCCCGGTTTCTCTCGCCAGCCGCTCACTGTTCGTCTTTTCATTTCAGATTGAGCAACGGATGGGTGATAAAAATCGGGCGTGGACTGGATTACTTTAAAGCGCCGGAGAGTAAATTCGCCCTCGGCGTGTTCGATCTGGAGTTAAGACCGTGCAATGAGACCACCGTGGACATTTTTCATGAGAATAATCTTCAGAACGCAATCAAATAGGACGTGTTGACTTAAAAATTAACAAGACAATGGTTAATATTTTTTTAAATACATTTCTTAGTAAACGTACGTGTATCATGGCACTTTTTTTAATGACAAAATAAAACATTCATATTTTTACAGTACGCATTCGTATCCTTGCGATAGGATACTCTGACAGTTACATATATATCTGTACATATTTAACAAAGATACTTGTTCTGTCCGCGTTTACTCCTCAACGATGTGATGATATACTTGTAATTATAGCTTACAATTATAAAATGTATTTACAGTCTTCTCCTTCTGCGCGTGATCCCACTTATTGTACGAGTTATCACAACAAAGTTTTCCCTTTCCAGATTTCCCTCAATCCAGTGCGCTGTGATCCTTGGCCTTCGCGATCCCGATTTGTTTCGCAGCCTTCTTGCACGCCCGCCTCAACGACCTGGTGTACCTGAACAAGCCCGTTCCCGTCTGCGCCTCCTCGTCCTTCTCTTCCACCCGGGCCTTCTCGTTTACTCGACACGGCCCCGACAGACAATCCCCGCCGCCGACGGCGACCACTTGCCTCGCGATCTCTGGCTCGACGCAGAGTCGCGTCAACGCGGCCGCCGCGGTGATCTCCAGCCGTTGGTACGCGTCTTCCAGACCCGGTGGTCTCATTCGGAGGAAAGAAACCAAGGCCACGGAGGCTCGTGCGTTCGCCAGATGCGATCGGCCCTCGGGAACACGCGCCAATTCGCCGATTAATGCGGCGACCTGCTCCATAAGCCACACGTTACCGCCCGCGGATTTCTTCACGCTTCTCAGAAGCTTCCTCACGCTGTCCTCCTCTAGTATGATCGTGGTGCATATCCTCGACTTGGACAGCTGATTCAGCGCCGCGGCAGTCAACAGCAGGGTCTGAGCGCAATTGGTGCTCTCGACCAGCTGATTCAACGCCGGTATCAGAGAGTCCGCGAAGGGCTCGAGATACGGCAGACCCCTCGCATTGGTCCACGGCGCCGTGATTTGCACCACCAAGGCGGTGGCCTCGGTCTTCTCCTTCTCGGTGGAGGATTCCGCGCCCAGGAGATCCGTCAGAATCTCGGGGCCGCTTTCCCGGGCGAAGTATTCGATCGCTGTCGCGGAACTGCACGCGCTGGCAAGAGCGCGCAACGAGAGCGCGACGAGATCGCTCGGTGTTCGACCGGTGGTGACGAGACACGTCAAGAGAGCCTTTATGCCGGAGCAGCGAGCTATGCTGCTTCCCGCGCGAGGATCCGACAATCCTAGAGCCGTCAGGGCTGCCAGAGCGCCCCTGGCCACGCTGCTATCCTCCCACGGTGCTTCCTCGAGACCTCGGACTATTTTCTGAAGAGAGATTTTTGTGTCGTTAATTCACGGCTACTTCCGACGAATACAAGCCAGCGAGATAAAAGGACCAACCTCGATGTAAAAATCTAAGCGCGTGTCGACCGTGCTGTCGACGTACATCTTCATATTGTGCAACTGCGCGAGGATACTCCTCAGACTGCCCTGCTGTATCCTGCGCGGAGGAGGTGCACCTAATTGAGAGAGGACCGAGAACGCGGCCTCCTCTATGTTGCGAAGCAGCTCCATTTCGAATCTGCCACCTTCCAGCCGAGTTATCTTCCTGCGTTATTAATGTAATTGTTAAGTTAATTACTAATTATTTAAAGTCATCGCTTTTAACATAGAATCAACGATTTAACGTGTCATTTTTTTGTTTTGCCTTGCAGTTGACTACGGATTTCGTAACGCCAATGGAAAGTAATTATTCCTAAGCAACGAGTTCGGGATATAAAGATATCCGCACGTCCTGATGCTACTTGAAGGATCGAGGAAAGTTGGCTTACTCCACGATGTTCCGATAATGCTGCTCGAAGTGTTCCGCGCTGACCAGGAGTTTGCTCGCGGCCGCGGTGGCCGCGGAAGACAGCATCTTCAGGTCCCGCGCGTGAACCTCGCCGGACACCACTCGGACTCCACCGCGCGGCAGATTCTTGCTCTGTAGCGTGCTGCCGCACTCGTTCTCGGTCACCGTGGCGAGGTCGGTCAGCCATGCCCTCATGGACGACGATTGACGATAATTCCTGGAGTTCAACACGTCCCTGCCGGCGGCGATCGCGTCCGCGGCGGCGGTGGAAGCCCGCGATTTCGTTACTGACGGCTGAACGCTGTCTTCCGGCGGCTCGGACGCGTACAGAAAGTCGCACAGACTCTCCTCCCCCAGCGAGACCGTGGATGGTACTTTCGACGCGTCGTCCCGCTTCTCGTCAGCCCTGGAAAAGAACGTTTGGTAAGTACAAAAGGAAATTGATATGAACATAACATTATTTTTCAGTATCGCTCATGCAATCAAAAGACGTTCCTACTTTTCTAGACTTCAAATATCTTTCGGATATCTCTGGAAGTCCATTTTATCTAGGTGGTATTTTGTCGTCCTAAAGTTACACTACCTTAAACGAGCCATTTGCGAATCGACGCAGACCTCGGCACGATTATTGTCATCCTGTTGCCGCGAGACGTATCGCGAGATGCGGCGTACACGGAATCGTCACCGGCCGCTCTTTTCCGGACGGATGGAAGCGCCGGGAGCGATTAGTGGAGCGATTAGGAGCTGACTAATCGAACCGCTACGGAGAACTCTCCTTTTCCCCGCGCGCGCGATGACTAATCTCGCGCTGCGCTGTATTGTAATGCGTCCACCTGCGCGCCGCCGGTGCACGCTAGAGCCGGATTCCTCGTAGATTCGCTGTCGCGCACCGAAAGCACCGGGGCCCGGCGGTTGACTCAAACCTCGCTCGGGAGCCAGCCTCGCGCTCATTCATTTACGTATTCCCCTCGTGCGGCACGTCGCATTGACTCACGTACAGCACGAATGTACACGGTGACGAACAGAAAAGCACGACCGTACAAGGGAAACCGATTGGTATCCCGACCTCATGACGAACTTAACACTCGATGATATACTCGAGACAGAGACGATCTGTAATTCGTGACGGGATTTCATTGCGGCACGTGAAGCTACAAGCACAAAAAGAGGACTTAAAGAGGACTTACTTTCATTTCTATCAATTGCAGATTAATTTTTTAATTTCTTTTTTATTTATTTTAAGGCCCAGTTTCGCCTACGTCACCTAACTTTGACCATAGTTTAATTCATCCTTCCCTTTCCGACTGTTCCCGAAAAAGAGACAAGTAATGAATTGTACTAAGGTCGCGGTCAAGCCGTCGCTACAAATGCTTCGAAGCGTTTCTCTTCTATCTTTTCTTAAAGGAAGGATAAGATAATACTTGGAAACATTCGAACCGACAGCTTGACCGCAGCCTTGATTAAAGTTGAGCGACGTTAGTGAAGTCAGGCTAAGAATTAGAAAAAGACGGAAAGTAAGTTAAATGGAAATTAAAGTTTCGGTGAAGATGGACATTAGTGCAGGCGCTTGATCACGAATCTTTTCCTCTAGCGCGAAAAGTGAACAATTTCATTGAAGAATGTTCGTCAATGAAAACTTTTCACTCTTCACGCGTTCACGCTAGAGGAAAAGATTCATGCTCCAGATCGAGCTCCTGTAAGCAAAGAAAAGGAGAGGAGAGTACACGTGGCGGATATCCGATACATATTAAAGAATCGAGTATTTTCCTTTTCCTTCGCTCCTTCGTTTTGTTAACGTCGCGTTTCGTTTCGCAAGTTCAGCTGCGTGTACATAATAATACATGCTTCCGATTTACACGATTGCGTCTTACGGCGTGGCCGGCACGATCGCTCTTTAATCAGCGGACAGTAACGCGCAATCTAATGACCGCTCTATCCGACTCCCGGACGTGTTTCGCGCGCATATTTTATTTATTAGCCATCACGAATCGCTAATCTCTTTGGTCGCGCGGCGGTAGACCTCGACAGCCCATCCTCGTGCCTTACGTGCCGTAAGTAAGTCGGTTAGCTGTGCATACGAGGGCGTGATACGCATACAATGACTCGGCGATAAGCCGAAGCACCTTCACGGGCCGAGGACTGATAATCATCCACTCGAGGCCGGCGCATCTCGCGGGTATTATGACACCCGAGGAGAGGAGCCCGATTCTCCCGCGTGCGTCATTGCTTACGACACAACATAAGCCGCGCGATACGATCCACGGCGCGTTCTACGCATGTTCGTTCTGTATTATTCGTGAAAGATTGTGCGTACGACGACGAAATTGCCTTACGTGTCGCATTCCTACCGGTTGGCTCACCCCTCCAATCTTATCGCGACGACTCCTTCGCACCGGCTGCAACGCGATTTCAAAACTTTAACGCTCAAGCTATTAATATTACCGTCGATAGTGCGGCTTTTCGAAGAACTGTACGCGCGCGTTGAATCAGACCCAATCGTACTTTCTGAGTCAGCGACGTGCTAGATGATACGTGAAATGGAGCAAAGCGCAACGCGCCTGCAACTCGCTTTATTGTTAGACTATAATTTAACTGTTACCCAAGTAGAACGGGTTCATCACAAAAACGTCAGTGTGACATTAAAATGACGATTTTTAGGTCACAAAATGATCGACATCAAGATTTACTTTGCAATGACTGATTTATGACATGCTGTTTTATGATATTCGCGATGTGTACAATAATACATTATTACAGATTACATGATCAGTCATATATTACGTTTATCTTCTATTACTCCAATTTATTTTTTATGTATAATATTTAATTAACTTTGCTTTGTGAAACAACATCATTTTTACAACATTTTGATGTCTTAATGATGTCGCCAACAGGTGCTCTCTGATGCATAAAAAATTATCAAAAAATGATGTCATCTTGATGTTTTCACGACTAATAACCCACGTTCTACTTGGGTAGCTATTAGAACCTTCGATTGGATACGTGGTTTAAGATTTACGTGTACACGTATAGTCGTATGTATGTGACACGTGTACTCGAATATCCGTGTATGTGTAAACGTGTGCAAATATTTATCAAAATATCTTTCATCATATTTTATACTCTATTTCTGCATACGTTGTTCGATATATGTATACGCATAATTCCAGCGTTCCAAGATTATATCCAGATTCTGTCACACAATTATCTAAATGTTTCCCTCGTGTCGCGCTCACGGGTATTCGTGAACACGTGTCACATTCACGTGTTCACGGATTCACGTAAATGAAGATTCTTTAAATTCGTGTACACGGGTTAAAACACGGATAAGTTAAATACACGGATTACACGTGTACTAGGGAGCTCTAGTAGCTACCCAAGCAACACGTATGTCTAAGAGACAACTTAAAGACGTCCTAAAGATGTCTGTCAGGCACGCGTGCTGTATGGGTAGTTTACCAAGAGGTTGGAAAGACCGGCCGTCAATAATGTAAGATAATTCGCTCACCCTCGTTCTCGCGACGGGCTCCCTGCGGACTTCCCTAAGCGATTCCTCGCGGCGAATATCCTGGAATCCTTCGGTGTGGACGTGTGCGTCGGCATCGGGGGAGATTCCTCCTCCTCCGGCCACGGAGAGGCCTGCTGGTTCCTACGCCTCATCCGTTTCCTCCGCAACTTCCGCCGCGGAGTCGCGTTCTCGTAAGCCTCCGAGCAGTCCGACCTCTCGGAGTCGGAGAACCCGGAGTCCTGGCTCCTGAGATCTTGACTCACGGGGCTGTAGGATCTGTTTCTTATCTCGCGCTCCTCCCCCGCTTCGTCCTCCACTGTCATTCTGGATATTTAAATTCGTCATCTCGCATCATTAACGCGTCAGTGAATATTATGTCATTAACGTAATATACTCTCTGAATGTCTTTTTATAATATTTCCTTCGTGGAGAAATGACTTTATCACCTAAATTGGCGCCTCAAATTATTTACTTTTGATTACTCGAAACTAATATCGAAGGCACAGTACAACTAGTAGGCCCACTGTCCGTCGGCTCCTGTTATCTTTGCGATCCCGATCATGTGATGCAAGAATACCAGGTGTAACATTCCCGTGGATGCGCACGATGTGATCAATCAGAAATTTGCCCTGAACCTTCAAACTGCAAAATTGCGGTTGAATGCAGCAAGAACCAATGAGCAATTTGCCCCAAAAATTGGTTGTATGCAATGTTTCCACCTTGTATTTTTACACCATGGTCCCGACACGTGGTATTCCGCCATTATTTTAGCCAGAAGTTGTACGTGCGGTAGTGCATCAAAACTGGACTACCACCTTTCTCTCATTGGCTGCTCAGAACAATGTTGGATGCGCAGAAGGGATCGACGCAAAACGAAACAAGCGACGGAGTAGACCTACTAGCTATGTTACGGTCGAAGGTGTTCAGAAATGCGTGATTTTAAGGAAGATAAATATTGAATTATAATATAACAATAATAATAATGACCCGGTGAAAAAAGCCATGTATCCAATTTTATCTAATTGCAGGGTTGGAAAAGTTTCTTTATAAAAGTATCTAGTTACAGTTACAGTAACTAATTACAATTACAAGTCACCAATTCTGAAAAGTAACGCGTTACAGTTACCTGAAAAGTAACGAATCGTTACTTTGCAGTTACTTTCTTGCAATGAAAATGCATTTGAATTGTAAAGCGTCGATAAAGGCGTTTATGCGCAGATGCAAGGTCTAATGCAATCTGTAGAGGATTAAAAAATATATAAAGTAACTATTGAATTAGTTACTAGTTGTCGAAAAGATGTAACTGAGTTAAGTTACAGTTACAGTTGGAGAAAAAGTAACGAAGTTAAGTTAGAGTTACCAAAAAAAGTAACTGTAATTGTAACTTGGTTACAAGTAACGAGTTCACAATCAAAAATGTCAGTTATGGTAAAATTTGATCAGTTTATATCAAAATTTTAATGCATCCATTTATAAGTACATCAACTCAGATGTGGTCAGATATAGTCAGATGTTTACACCGTTTTATCTGACCACAATTAACTTGATGCACTTATAAATGGATGCATTAAAATTAGGATATAATCTTATCAAATTTTATCATATCTGACATTTTTGATACAATTAATTATAATCGGATATGTGGCTTTTTTCCTTTATTAAATCAATATTGAATCACTAGTCTCGCGATAATCGCTCGGTGGACTGTTTTACGTACCTGCGAGGCGTTATACTTTCGTCGCGAATCAATGAAATCCGACACGCGTTCTGTTTGGTATTCTCGTCGCTTTTGTCGCAGACGCGTATTGCAGTAATATTCGCGTCGTCGGTCGTATTATTTTCCGATTTGGTCGAATCGTCTTCTTCTTCTATCTCCTCCTCCCGTTCACGCACACGTTCGTTAAAAGAGTAACGCGGAGGATCGTTTCTTCCCACGGGACGATCGTTCTCCAGGTCGCGTGTGGCCATTTGGTCCCAGAACACTTTGCTCTGATATCTCTTGAACGCGCTCATGTTTTCTCACTGTTTTCACTCAACAAAGCTTGCGAAACGCCCGCCAAAATCGGCCGGAGCGAAAAAAGCAAGAGAACACTGCGAAAGTTTTTATTTTCACCTCTTCAAGTCCCGGTTTTTCGTTATTTGCAGGAACACGTCGTGGACGAGCGAGGGGGCCCGATAAACGTTCGCGGTGGCCAAGATGCGCCCAGGGTGCTCTGTATTTTACTTCAACGAGGTGCTTTCACGATCCAGCGGAGCGCGACGACCCTCCCACGGTCGGTGGTCGCGTGGCTGCTTGGAGAACGACCTTATGGTGTCCGTCGCAACCCCCACAGGCCGCTGCTTAATGGTGAGTCTCGCATGCGACACGTATGGCTCTTCTTCTTCGGTAGAACCCGGCCTCCTTCGAGACCGCGAATCCCTCGCGGTAAAAGAATTTCGTTGAACGAAGCGACAACTCGCCCAGCTCGTTCCTCGACAGTTCGTTCTATTGGACGAGGTGTCTTTGCTCGGAATTCAATTTCCCGATTGAACACGAATCACTTTCCCTAGCGACTGCCGCGAGCTCGCGTGCACAGCCAACGCGCCTCATTCTAGCGGAACTCGCGACAGGCTGAAATGAGCGCGAGCGCGAAAGAAAGCAGGCGAGCCGAGACCGCGATAAGGATTGAAAGAGAAGTTAATTTATCCCGAACCCCCTTATCTTGCAGGATACTCGTTATCGCTCGGCAATGAGGGCGATCCTACGCGGATCCCGCGAAATCCTCGCGTCTCGCGACGAATTGTCACACACGTGCGCGACGACGATTGAACCCAAGCGCGCCGATGCCCCACAATCGACTGACTCCGGGGTCCGACTTCCGACTTCCTCGTGGCTCGCGCGACTCGATCTCATCGCGTCCCACCCTCTTCCCCGCCCCAAAAGCCGCGTAAGCCAAGTCGTGTGAAAACGCAGCGGGCCCTCGTCCCCTTTCCGCCTTTGTCGGGGGGCAGCTTGCACTGGGGGGCACCCGTCCCCCTCTCCCACCGTGCATGGGGCCCCCTCACGCACACGACGACGCGCGTGTCCGTGCGTAACCGTCAAACCGTAACGAGGCGCGCGTTCTCTTTAACGGGACGGCGCACGCCGGAAGGCCTTTAATTGAGCTTCGATAGGCACAAGGTGATCCGGGTTCAGGTATGCAAAGCAGATAGATCCGCGTGAATGACAGATCTACCTGCGTCTTGGCAATGCAAGCTTTTCCATCGCGGACTTTCCGCGGCGAGAACGGGCCTCTAAGGCCAGCCGAACATCCCGCAACGCGAGATAACTACGATAATGAGACCTTTCTGTACTTCTTCTGACGCAATAGCCGCATTGTTCGGCCGTGGTTTACACGGGTCGTTAAACGCTGTAAGAAAGCCAATGATTAAAAGTCGTAATAACGAGAGAGAACGTTGAGGTCAGCTTGTCCGTTAAGACAGAAAACGAGACCGAAGTTCGTCAAGATCTAGAAGTGAGGCGTGTAGCACTTGAGGGACGGGAGCATTTCATATACATTTTTCATCAAACTTTAGAAAAATATAGTGGAATTAAAAAATATTAAAGATTAGTTTCTTCAAATTGCCAGTATAATACCCAAATTTCCAATTCTATTCGACCACAGCTGGCCACACCTGTTAGTTTCTCTGTCAATGCAGAAAATTTATTGCAAAAGATATTACCTCAGCTAGGGTTTGAACCTGGACCTCTCCAGGCTCTAGGCTCTTCTCACCACCGAGGCATACGACAATATTTGTCGCCATAACAGTTTAAAGATGTTGTCTACGCATCTATTTTTCGACGTTAAACCGCGCGCCAACTAGGGTTGTCGTAAACCGAGTCGAGCAATAAAACATATTAGTATAAAATGAACAAGATTCTATGAGCGCCACATATTTCTCCTATGATGTTCATTTGCTTTATTTTCTGAACAGAACTTTAAGGTATTTAACTCTTTGAAGCCAATATGAGAAACAATCTGTTTCTTAACAAGAACAAACGTTTGAACAATACTTATGAAGAATTATAATTGCAATTAGACTCCGGTTTTTAATGAACTAGCCTAAAATAAATATTTTTGTTTACAAAACTTTATTATTTCTTAATACAATTTACTGTCGAGAAGTAAGCGTTTACGATATAAGATAAATTTCCGGCCCTATTCAAAGACACTTGGAGTAGAACTCAATGGCTATGATATAAATGTTATACTGAAAAATGAACCAGCAGTCGAGAGAAATTAAAAATAACATTAATTGCTGCATCCCCTGTCTTTTAAAAATAACGCGAATATTCAATTACGTGCCTCACGAGGCAAGAGCTAAAGGTGGTTCCGTTTCTAAACCAGAGGGTCACTAGTGAAAGTAACGTGGAATAGTGAAATAGTTTCACGGCAAAATCACTGGGACGCGAAGGGTTAATGAACGTGAGAAATGTTTAGGAAAAGGCTCGACTCTCGAGCGGCGTTCAAAAGAGAAATATATAATCCCCTTAAATACGAGGCATTTCCAAAGACGGCGGAGCAAAGCCTCGTTTGGCGTTCGTTCTCGTGCGCCCGGCCATCGTCGCAATTTTCACGGAGTTGACCACCGCAAATAAGAAATAACAATGGCCTTTGACAAGCCTCTCGTGCAAGTCTGCGCGCAGTGGAAGACAAGAAGACGCTTCCCTTTTACTTTCGAAAGGCGATAAGTCTGTCTCGCCGGGGAGACTACCGGTTCATTGGCGCAACGAACGCGTGACGAGGCCCCGAAGGCCCGGTCTTCCCGCTCTGGAGCTGGAAGATGTCTACGAAATCACACCAATGGTGCTTTTAAGGGCCAGGTGTGCCACTATCGATCCCCCGAGGAGCGCGACTGAGAACAGGGGTCGGCCCCCCGAAACGACTATGGTACCATTCACCGAGGCGATACAGCGCGGAGGCACGCGCCCGTTCGGCACATCTGCGTGTAAAATGCCCATGGTGACGCGTCATGCGTGTGCGTGAGAGCGGCTGAGTCACTCACACGTGCTCGGCGCGCGTTGCGTGGCTGAATTTAAAGGACGTGGAAGTTTAATGGATACACGCGCACGGTAAATAAAATCGCCAAGTACGGTGGCAAGTCCAAGTTAGTCGCGAGCTGAACACGTTGAGGTTCGCGGGGCGTCGAAAAGGAGATGCTGATCTAAATGAGATTCCACTATTTACAAGAATCTCCGATTCGATCTGACGTTCTATGAGCGTCGACGAGGGAGCCAAGAGAAGGCGAGAGAGAATTCGATCGAACGTGTATCTTTCCACGTGAATCGTGAATCATCCTGCGCGCAGCAGCGGTGAACGATCTGCCGGGGAAGAAGTCAAGGGAAAACGCCTCATTCACTTTGCGTTCCCGCCGTTAATTGACGAAGATCGGGGCTATCGATAAAGTAGCGAGCATCGAACCTGCTAATGGGCGTAGTGATAGCATAACGACGCGTTTCCTCGCGTCGCGATTAACAACACTCCCGTGGTCTTATCGGGAGATAACGCGGTCTCCAGCGCGATCGTTCGACCGCGACCGGTGCGCATCCTCATTGTCGACGCGTATGCGTGCATACGATGAGTCCAACTGCCCGTCTCTTCGGGGAGTGCGAAGAGGGGGGGTCCTTACGACCCCTATTATACATACCGGCATACGAATGGGGGACAGATGTGTACAAACCGTTACTTAGGCGCGTGCGTCTAAGCGCGTCCGTGCAAACCTGCACATCTGTGGCGCCCGAAACTTGATGACATTTCGAATTTGAGGCACGCCGATGATTGATCTCTGCCGGATACACGTAGTTCTATGAATATTCTTCTGAAGTGCAAATATTCTTAATTTCAGAATATTCCAATCGAATAGTCTATAAATATAT